TGCTGACTGTAAATAGATGAATAGGTCAATTAAACTGTCATGACCTGTCCTACAGTCTAGTGATGAAGACACATAATAAAGCATTAAAATAAAAAGATTCCTTTGGCTACTGGGTGGAAGATGGATGTGAGGAAGCAAGATGAGATAAGTAAAGATGATCACAGTTATCCAGAAATTAAAGACAGTGGCTCACACTAGAGTGGGGTCAGTGGAGATGGGGAAAAATGACTATGGATTCGGGATAAATTTTGGGGGTAGAAATGATAGGGCACTTGCCAATGAACTAGATATAAAGGGTGAAGGAATAGGTGAGAGATAAGGATGACTTCCAGGCTTCAAGCAGTTGGCTAAACAATGGGCCACTTCCAGATCTTATTCTATTCAAAATTGATGCCAGTGACTTGGATGAAGGTACACTCAAGATATGAAGTTGGATGCAGTGGTTGAAATATAAGTAAAAAGGATCAACAATATAAGAAGAGATCATGAGACTTGAAAGATAAAATGTAATGGAAATAAATATAGGTCTTGCGCTTAGCTTCAAAAACAAACAAAATAAGTACAGAAGATAGAATCACGAAGACCGCCTAGTAGCACTCATATCAGAAGCTCAAATAATGAAAAGTGTGTGGGGGTTGCTGTAAAAATGAATTCCAAAATTGATTGCCTTGAAAGAAGAAAGATGTCCGACTCAGAGAAATGAAAAATCCTGTCATGCTTTGCACTATCTGGATCAAATGTGATGTTATAGCACTGGGCTCATCTCAGTACACAGCCTTTAAAAAAGGATGGTTGAGGAACTGGACCATGACTGAGATGTAAATAGCCCAAACACTTCATCACAAGATGAACAATTCAAAGAACTAAAAGTGTTTGAGTTAAAAAGCACAATCTTAAAATGAGCACCCTCAGGACTATTAAGTAGGAGAGGTGTTAGATTTCAAGTAGATTCTAATAGGTTCAGAAGGTAAAATGATGACCCAAGGATAGAAGTAGCAATAGTGATTTCAGCTCAGCCACAGTTACAAAGCACAGAACTTTACAGAAATGAATGGGTTGCATAATGTGTCCCCTTTTAAAAGACACTTTGCAGACCTTGATGCCAGTGTGTTGGCATGAAGCATAGAGGTTTCCTGTCCTGCTTGAAAACCCTCTGCTGAACTAGATCCTCCCTGAAAGTCTCTCCCTGCTTCAGGAGTCTAGAATTCTAAGTTTCTTCTCAGGAGACTCAAAAATCTACAGGATGTCCTGCACCACATCTTTCAAAATGTTGCTGACACAAAGACTCTTGAAGGTTCCCGACCACATTCTTCACCATTCTAACTCTCCTGCCGCACCTTCCCCATGACCCATGTACAGTTACATGCTCTAGATCTTCTCAAAGTTGAACATAAGTCTGAACTATCAACATCTCAACAGCCCTATTACTAATTGCTGAGCTGTGGTCCTTACGTAAGTATGCCTTTTTCAGCAACCGATGTTTGCCCCACCCATATTAATACTTGTGGTTGATGGTTAATAACCTTGAAGCTTAAATTATATCCAGATGAAATTTTAAAAAGGAATCACTTGTGTTCCTTGGTGTTAGCACAGGAATCCCAGCATGTGTTTCTCTTCCAGGAAACCTGGACTTTAAGGGGCATAATCATGCTCTAAACAGAAGTGTCCAAGACATTCTCTCCAGTTACTCCTCTTTCTTCTTTCTCTTAGATGTCATGGTCTCTCTGTCTCAAGACATCTATGATTTGATTTTTCTAACCCATTATAGTCATTTAGACAACATATTGCTTCTTTGTAAGAATCTGAACAAAGAGGTGTACTTTTCTAAATTTTAATCCTATTAATGCCAGATTCTGGTATAGTCTAAAGTATTCTTAGAATTTTGCTTTTATAGTTTTCCTCTTAGTGATCTGATAGAAAAGGAGGTTTTACTTTATATTAGTTTTCAGTCTTGGAAGAGAAGGTCTATTTCAGAAGGGACTAAGAAAAGAGTCTTTGCCAATCATACAGTTAAAGACAAAAGCCATCAGACTCTTAGTACTCTGGGGTGCAATGTTATGTCTCTTAAACATGGGAGAAGAGGTTGTTTTCATCACTGTGGGAGTACCTCATTCTGTTGTGTTTAAGTAGGGGAAAGAAGATAAGTGAACACTACTAAAATCTTCCCTAATCAATACTTTTCTCCTACTTGAAAAAAGAGGGAGGCCGGGCGCGGTGGCTCACGCCTGTAATCCCAGCACTTTGGGAGGCCGAGGAGGGTGGATCATAAGGTCAAGAGATCGAGACCATCCTGGTCAACATGGTGAAACCCCATCTCTACTAAAAAATATACAAAAAATTGGCTGGGCATGGTGGCGCATGCCTGTAATCCCAGCTACTCAGGAGGCTGAGGCAGGAGAATTGCCTGAACCCAGGAGGCAGAGGTTGCCGTGAGCCGAGATCGCACCATTGCACTGCAGCCTGGGTAACAAGCGCGAAGCTCCGTCTCAAAAAAGAAAAAAGAGAGATAGCAGTTTCTAATGCTCAAAGGGCCAGATGCCAGCTGAACATGATCTGCAAAGAGATTTAACACGTAAAATGTGTAGAGACACAACCATTTGCAAGAACCACATGGTTCAAGGGGCTACTGAGGAAGCACAGCAAATGTTTCCTTAGGATGTTTCTTTTGCTAATTAATACCGAATTCTCCAGGGTTAAGGTCTTTTGTAAATCATTATGTAGATATTCAGAATTATGCCCTCCTCCTAGGCACATAGTTTGTACAAGTTCATACTCTTTATACATTATCCTTGGGACCATGGGAAAATCCTTTTGGTCATTTTTGGTCCCAGGAGAGTAGACCCAACAGGGCACATGGTCACTCCAGATTAGTACCTGACTCATCCTAAGATGCCACCCATTTTATCCCCACTAGGAAGCCTGTGCTCTTCTGTGCCACATGAAAATCCTCTAGGACCTGTCACATGTATGTATAGAAATGGCTACTTAGTGTGTGTCCCTCAAAACATGAGTGAACTTTGCCAGAAACTCAAAGCTTACTTCTTCTATGTAAAATAATGCTTATCTTATATGATGGAAGCAAAATCATGCCACAATTAGGTTCTGTGTTTTATTCTGTGGCAGAGCATATCAAATCATGTTCTGTTACATATCTCAGAACTACTGGGTTGGTTAATAAATGCTTGCTCTTCATTTCTTACATCCTTCAACCTGAAGAGATAATAATTAGTCCATTTTCACACTGATGATAAAGTCATACCTGGGACTGGGTAATTTATTAAGAAAAAGAGGCTTAAAGAACTCATAGTTCCATGTGGCTGCGGAGGCCTCACAATCATGGCAGAAGGAAAAAGGCACGTCTTACTTGCCTGCGGACGAGAGAGAATTGAGAGATAAGCGAAAGGGGTTTCCCCTTATTAAAAAAAAAACATCAGATCTTGTTAGACTTATTCACTACCACAGGAACAGTATGGTGGAAACCACCCCCATGATTCAATTATCTCCCACTGAATCCCTCTCATAACACATGGGAATTATGGGAGCTACAATTCAAGATGAGATTTGGGTGGGTATACAGCCAAACCATATCAGTCAGCCTCCTCACTCAAGGATTTTGGAGAAATAAGTATAGATCTGAATGCACTTCCTTAACCAATCATATCTTAACCTAAATTCCCCTTTACTGGCAGATGAGTTGAACCTTTAACCAAAGTGTTAGGTCTTCTCTTCTTTCTCCTAGTGTTTGTTTTGCCTTTGCTGAGCTCTGCGCCTATTTTGTTTTCTGGCCAGTTTCTGGCAGTCCATCTGTTCTGCTATTGACTGTTCTGTACTCCTGGTTTATCTCCTCATGGCTGCCCCATATGTGAGAGAAGCAAAATGCTGTAGGATCATAGACAGCTGAGAAGCAGTCATTCTGCTTGGGGCCAGGGAAGGCAACTGAGGAGGTGGCATTTGAGCTGGGGCCTTGAGCAGCCTTCAACAGGTGTGCTGGGAGGGGGAAGGGCCAGGAGGAGGCAGTTCATGCAGAGCGAACTGCATGATGTGCCAAGTGCCTCTCAACAGCACTTGGTGGAAAAATAATTGCCTTTAATGACTCAAACATAGAGTCAATTGCAGTAATGTATTGTTCCGGGGATATATTTTCCCATATCAGGAAGTGAACAGTTTCAATTGGGGACTGGATTTTTTTTCTTCTTTTTAATAAATAGGCTTTATTTTCAGTTATCATGTCTGTTTTAACCAAATGTTTCAGAAATCATCTATATAATCTCCCACATTATTTTAACTGCACTTTTCCTTGAGAAGCATTTGATAATGAGCCAGATGTACTAAAACAAAAACATGAGTTCATTCAAAAAAGTCTTTTCATTATACTTGATTGTCAAATTTTCCCACTATTTAGCAAAGGGTGCTTATTCATCTAAGAGTAACCAGGTACAAAAAAAAGTCAATTACATTAGTGGCCTAATATATAGATTTTAAGATAGCCATGAAGTAATAGCTGAAAAGAGCCCAGACATCATTTGGCTTGTATCTTTATAATATGGGCAATGAATCCAGAGATGGGAAATGTTAAGCAAGTTGCCCAAAGTCAGGTGGTCATTCTCCTAAGGTCACTGCCAGCCTTCCCTTTTGCCCCTCCCATACCATTCTCACACTCTTTCATCCAGATGTAACAGAGATTACATCATTTACTACAAAAGCTTTCTTTCATAATGTTGTTTTAAAGTCATCTCAACCAAAACGTTTCCAGAGAGCTATTTGGGCTTTGAATTACGTAAGAGATTTGAACTGTTACTCAGATTCTAATGAGCACTTCTTTATTTGGTAGGACATTTTTATTGTGGATTTTAAAACAGGGATGACTAATAGGTTCCAAAATTTGGATACTGTTAACAAATAGTTTTAACTATACAAATAAACCTTTGCCCTTCTAAAATGTAAAGTCAGAATATATTCTTTTCTAGTTATTACAACAAGATTTATTTTCTTTGCTTTAGGGTACTTTTGACTTCAGTGACATTGCTGTCTATATATTCAATAAACCTCCTACTGATCTGTTCAAAAGAAACAGGTAAGCTGAGAATATGTTTGATTTTGTTAAAACCAGGCTGAATTATTTTTATGGTGACCTTATGAGCAAATGATGCTCTCTTTGTACAACAATTTGACTATTAAAAAGAAAGAGTGGGGCTGGGTGCAGTGGCTCACTCCTATAATCCCAGAACTTTGGGAGGCTGAGGCAGATGGATCATGAGGTCGGGAGATCAAGACCATCCTGGTAAACATGGTGAAACCCCTTCTCTACTAAAAATACAAAAAAATTAGCTGGGTGTGGTGGTGCTTGCCTGTAGTCCTAGCTACTCAGGAGGCTGAGGCAGGAGAATCACTTGAACATGGGAGGTGGAGGCTGCAGTGAACTATCATGCCACTGTACTCCAGCCTGGGCAACAGAGCAACACTGTGTCTTAAAAAAAAAAAAAAAAGAAAGAAAGAAAGACTACTTTGATCTAGAGTAATTGGAAGACCTTTGGAAGTATTTGTCTAGAGAAACAGTTGCAGCAATATATAAATTAAATTGGCATGGACAATGAGCAAATAATGTTGTCACTTAAAATGAACCCTCCATTATACCTTTTTTCTAGTTTAAAATGACTTCATTTTAAAAGCTTCAGTTTTTCCTTAGGTTTTTATATATCCAGAGCAAAGATCCCATGTTTTTATATTAAAACTTCCAAGGTTTTGAAAGTAAACAGACTTTTCATTCTCTTGTGCCTATTCCAAGGAGAAAATGTTACTCCTGAGGCACTGTGGGAGTGAGCAAGCTGTGAAGAGCCTTCAAGTACTCTGGGCAGTGTAATACCTGAAGTGTTTATTTTCTATTTCTGGGACACTGGATTATGTTTGCAATTCTTTGACTTTTACATTAGCTAAAACCACATTGGCCAACTATTATTGTATATACATGACTCAATTTAACTGGAACATTTTGTAATAAATTGAGTAGCTGACCATTGTCTAGTTTAAACACCAGTCTTTTGAGAGGTTAAACAAAGGTTTAATTATAGCCTGTCACATATTGCTCTCTATGAACCTTTTGAAAACATGGACTGAACAGTTATAAAGAAATATAAACACTTTTTAAAAAAGAAATGGTTTAGAATTTTAGTAATTATTGAGATGAGCTAGTTGAACACTTTCAAATTTTGCTACAGATGAAATATGCTTTCGACAGATTAGTTTTCTGCTCTCTTTTGGGAGTTTCGTGTATTTGAACTACATTTTATGAATGATTACATTTCATATGTCATGGCTATTAAAATGTTTCCAAGCTTGTTATTACATTTAGAACATGGAGGCATTGATGGGATGTTATTAAGATAATTCCTTGTTAGCCTAATCAGTTAAGGTAGTTGATTCAAAAGGAATCTTTTTGCCTCAACTTTTAGGATTGTTTTAAATCAAATATGTATCTTAATGGTATCTACCAGATCTGAGAAAAAGATCACAGAAGGAATTTCCCCTTTGTGAGATACAGGTAGTTAAAAATAAGCCTTATGATCTAATAGGTTAATTGTAACGCTTTGTTAGCCAACTTGAAAAAGGAGAAATGATGGTTGCACCTGACATTTTAAAATATCAAGAGTTTGTTTTATAATGAGGATGCCTTAACCCCTGCAAAGCCAAGAAGACTATTTGTGTGAGTTTGAGAAAGGCACACAGTAACTTGGGGAACAGTCAATAGAATGACAAAATCTTGACTATTTTTAACTTTCTGAACCCTGTCATTTTTTGTGTTCTCAAATTTGATTTTTAAATAGGCTGCATGGTATATGAAAAGCTGGGGGAACAAGTTTTTGGCACCACAGGGAAGTTCGTAATCTTTGGAGCCACCTCTCTTCAGAACACTGGAGGTAAAAAGAACATGCTTTTCTTTACATAACTTGAAACTAATTCTGGTGGTTGGGTGGCCGCATGAATTTTAACATAATTCAAACAGTTATCATCCTCATTGCTAAAATGGCACAGGGAAAGTAAAGCAGAGACAGCAGTCACTTATTTAAAGCCACAAATCTTGATGCAGTAGCTAAAGTTCCCTTTGTGTCTTATTGACGGTTGGCCTAAGAACAGGCTGATAACTTTTAATATAGCTTGTAACATAAGTCTTCATATCTTCTTTCTAAAAATGTTCTCATTTTCTTCCAGCAATGCTGAGCTACCTCTTCATAGTAAAAAATGAACTACCCTCTGCCATAAAGTTTCTAATGGGAAAGGAAGAGGCATTTTCGTAAGTTATAGACCATTTTTTAATGGTATAAATAAAATGTTTTTAATTTAAATGTGGGCTAATCAAAATTCTTGCTTTATGAATATTGCAGAAAGTTTTTTCTAGGATGCTTTTTGTTTGTTTGTTGTTTCAACAGTAAATTTCTTTGGGGCTATATAAATGAAAGAAGCAGGGAGAGCCATTTGAATATGAACATTTGAAAAGTAGATTTATCTGTTAGGCTGTGAGAGGTTGACACTGCATTTTCCCAAGAGCCTGAAATCTATATCTAGTTTCTGTGAAATAGAACAGATATGGAGTATTTTTAATATAAAAGTGGAACATGCAAAAAAAAATTAAGACCCTAGCCTCTTGCTTAAAGAAGGGACATAGCATTTTGGGAGCAAAATTTACATGAGCCAACCTCCTTAAAGATGTAGCTAACCCTGGAAAATGTTGCAGCTACATTTGGCACAATTGTGTTTTGACTCTGTCTTGTTTAACAGTTCTCGTCTGTCTTAGTTTCTCTGTTTTCTTTCAAGGGAGAATCGTAGAAGCCAGAGTTTCTAGTGTTCTCAGGATTCAAGGTCAAATCCAAGGGATCAGGGAGAGAGATATGTCTACCTGTGGTGACCTGTTTCTTGCTGATACTTGCCCAGCAAAACAAAAAGGAGCTTTCTCTTTAAATAATTGATAAGACGAGTTGTAATCTGACAGAATGCAATGTATGCATTTGGCTTTGAAATCATGTAAATAATTCAAAGGAATGCCACATTTAGCCAATGGGAAAGGAAAAAAATATATTCCTTCTTCCATTATGTGGGAGTGAAGCTGTAGTAAATAAGTAGTGGTTGGGTTGAAGTGTTTGGATAAAACCTGAATAATGGTCTTAAAAATTAATGGATATAGTAAAAATTAATAAAAATTTTACATTAGAGGGGACAAAAGTCACTTTCTAAAAAAATATAACCTAACCACTTAAATGCCTTTCAGAGCCTGGTACGTGGATGGCCGACTTCTAGTGGTAATAGTTACCTTTGGCATAATTCTCCCTCTGTGTCTCTTGAAGAACTTAGGTAAGGACAGACTTTGTTTTTATAGTATTCTGCAGTGCCCAAGTGAATCAGAAACTGAATAAAAATGGTCAGTGTTGCCCTCTACTTCTCCTCTGCATGCACTTAAAGATTAGTGATTCATTTAATGATAAATTGTAAGTATTAATCAGGCCTAACTTTAATATGGGATAAAAACAATAGTCAGTATGTGGCCTCCTAAACAATTCCTCTACTGAGCTGTGGAGGGGAGAAGGAAGGTTCTGGGGCCAGGACAAACAGGGCTATTTTCAATAGTGTAACATATGCTACTCTAAGAAAGTTCCAGAAAATGGAATTCTCCTTGTATGAAGTCTTAAATACCCTCATTATTTAGGTAAATACATTTTCAACTTTAATATGGAGACAACTACCTAGATTTAAAGCCCTAAGTATTATGAATCTTGCATAAATTTAGTCTAACCAGTCTCAATTATTTCTCTCTGAAGCGGGAGAGAGAAATCAAAAGTCAGAAGTGGTGGATAATCTCCAAATCATATCCATTTGGCTTTGATCTACTACTTGTTTTTATACTTGTATTTGGAAACAAGAATGCCTGATGTTAGGGGAATTTTATACATTGAATAATGTGGCCAGACTGCCATCCAGTCAAAAACCTGTAAAATGTATTTACTTTAATTCTGGGCTAATTCAAACAGAAGTTTGGATAAAAGCTCTTCAAACAATAATTATGAGCCACAGTTTTTTGTTTCGTTTTGGATATAATGTATCAGAGACCTCTTTATAAACCTCACAGAACAGCTCCAGAGGTTTGATACATTATATCCAAACTTATTTTCTGGTTTATGCATCTGTGTTTTCTGTACCTATAAAGGTAGCTCTTTTCAGTTAAGTAGAGAAAGGCTCTTCCCCAGGGATGAGAATAATGCTGTCCCGAAAGGCTACTTAACTCTAACTTTTTGGAGGTCATGGTGGCAGTTGGAGATCTCCCAGGCATTCTAGAAATTTGCGTCATCTATTCTCTCATCTGGGGAGAAAAGTATTATAATTGACATTCAGTATGCACACAGTAAGTGCATAACTGAGGGGATCAAGGAGTAAATGGGTTTGCCCATAGGACTCCATCAGAGTTCACCAGCACAGACTTATGGCAAAAATTGGAAGGCTCTTCTCCGCTGGATTCTGGGAATCTATATTCTCTAGTGTGCCAGGGAGAGTTGGAATCAAAGAACATAATGTAATGTTTTTATTCAGAGCCCCATTTTTTTGCCAAATAAAGTAGTACTGTCAAATAATAAATCTTGTATTCACTTGGGCATGCGTGTTTATTGTAGGAGCTCTAAAATATGCTTGAAATAATGCATTGAAATAAATGAGGTGATGAATTTTGAAGTAATAACAGTTTATGATGGGTAGCTCCAATTTTATTAAAAACAGGAAAAAAAGAAATAATTTATTTTTTACTTTTTTTTTTTCAAGGGTATCTTGGCTATACTAGTGGATTTTCCTTGAGCTGCATGGTTTTTTTTCTAATAGTGGTAAGTGCTGATTGAAATGGCTGGTTTGGTTTTGTGATAGTACTAGTCATTATTTGGCTTTCCTAAAGTCTATATTGTTTCTACTATACTTCTTAATACCAGGTTATTTACAAGAAATTTCAAATTCCCTGCATTGTTCCAGAGCTAAATTCAACAATAAACGCTAATTCAACAAATGCTGACATGTGTACGCCAAAATATGTTACCTTCAATTCAAAGGTAAGTTGCCTGATCCTTTGCAGATAAAAAGATTGGGATTTTTAAAGGAGCACTTTTATTAAGAGCATTCTATTTCTTATACTTGTAATTGCACTACATGGTACCATTGCTTCCAGATTACACAATCTATGAAGAGATCCTTGAGAAATAAACAAATATTATATTTTACACTCTCTCTTACCCTTAAGCATTCTCTGTCAAAATCCCATTCTGGATAATGGTCTCAGCTCTACCTGTGTAGAGGACTGGTTGCTGCTTAAAAACAAATTAATAACATCCTTAGCTCCCTGTTTCTTATATGGTGATGACAGAAGGGAATAATGCAGACTTCCTCAGCTTGCACAGCTGAAATATAGATGCCACCATAAACTGGGACTTAGAAAACTCTCATACTATTAAAATATTATTGATACTATAGGAAACAGAGGATTGTGGAGTCAGTAGGGGTTGGATTTGAATCCTCAGGCAAGTCACCCAGTCCCTTGAGTAAAAATAAGGGCTCTGTTCTGTATTTTACAAGGTTTTGTTAGAATGTGCCTGGCATAGTGCATCAGCAGAGTTAGGGCACAAGATAGGTTAGCTTTCCCTCCTTCCCCCCACCTCTTTTTGCATAGGAAAGTAGATTGAGTTTGAGAGTTTCAGACAGCCTTATCAAAGAAAACTAAATAGATCGCAATCTCTCTCTTTCTCTCTGATTGTAAGAATACAGCCAAAATAGTGCAATGTGAAACAGATTTTCTTTTCAGAGGGTATCTTTTAAGTCTCATTCAATGCACCTGACATAGAGCAAAGAGCAGTTAACTAGAGGAGGAAGTGCTGGGCCAGTCGCCTGACCTGTTGGAGGGAGCCAGGAGAACAGCCACGCTCTGCCTACTGCTCGGGATTGCTGTGGAGATCCAACGAGCTAACCTAGGAAGAGTGCCATGTAACTGGCTCATGCTGTATAAACAGGGGATGTTGTATACCTGGAGTACATAAAATACGCTGTAGGTGAGCCAAATCCAAAGTCCCTCTGTGATGAGTGGATAATGGCTCGAGCTAGATAAGCTCTCTTAGAAAAGCTGCTTCTATTTTAGAGATCAAAACCCTCCTAATAACTGAATAATCCAGGGATTTTCAAGAGCTGTCAGATAAAAAGACAGCTTACAAATACTGGAGCTGTGTCATTTTTATGGTAAAAGTGTTTTTTTCCCTAATGTCTGTTCTTTTCTCTCAAATAGACCGTGTATGCTTTACCAACCATTGCATTTGCATTTGTCTGCCACCCATCAGTCCTGCCAATTTACAGTGAGCTTAAAGAGTAAGAAATTTGTTTAATTTATCTTAATTGTTTTATATCCCCTCATTAATAGGCAAATATAAAATTAAAATAAACAGACTTGTCTAATGAACCTCGGTGGATTCATCACCCAGCTTCAACATTTACTCACATTCTGCCATTCTTTAACAAGTATTGTATTTCAAGAAACAAGAAAGCATGAAAAATCAGAAACTTCAATATTTTGTGGGGCCATAAATACAGAAAGGAGTCAACCATGTGGGCTATTTCATTAATTTGGTTTTTCAAATACTGTATCACTGAGGAGAGTTTAAGTATTTGTGTTGCTTTCCATCACGTATGCGTATTTTGCAAGTCGGTGATGATCATCAGATTTATCTATAAACTGCTAAATACATTGTCTCTGATTTGCCTGTTGGTTTGGGTGAAAAGGCTGGTAAATCAGACAATAAGAAATCAATGTTAAGACCACAAACTAGGAAAAAAGAATATTGCTGTTCAATTTTAACTATTAAGAAAATTCTATGGATTCATTGATTTATTTTTGATTGCTTGTTTTGAGAAAATTAAGCCCTCCTTATAAACTTCCTGTGTTCTCATTTTAGCCTACAGTTATCAAACATATACAAAAATAGTTGCCATGGTGTGATCTTAAAAACTTAAAACAAGACAATGTTGGTATTTATTTCCATTTTGAAACAAAGTTGGTGTTATTTAGCATTGAATTCACTCATGTTTTTCATATTTAATTGATACATGACTAAAATTTAAACCATCTACATCACTCCTAGTTTGTGATCCTCTAAAATTTAAATATATCTTTGACATCTTTTAATAGTTCAGCTTTTAGTTTTAGTTTTTAATTTTTTCAAGTGTATACTTCTCAATTTTTCTTTACTTGTTTTTTTTTTTGAGACAGAGTCTTGCTTTGTCACCCAAGCTGGTGTGCAATAGGGTGATTTCAGCTCACTTCAGTCTTAACTTCCAAGGTCAAGCAATCCTCCCACCTCAGCCTCCAAGGTAGCTGGAATTATAGGCACATACCTCCAAGCCCAGCTAATTTTTGTATTTTCTGTGGACACAGAGTTTCACCATGTTGCCCAGGCTGGTCATAAACCCATGAGCTCAGGTGACCGGCCTGCCTCAGCCTCCCAAAGTGCTGGGATTACAGGAATAAGCTGCCGTGCCTAGCCTACATCTCAATTTTTCTTGTTTTCTGTATTCCCATGGCATCCCAGATTCCTTGCTATGACACAGCCAAATATTATGACTATCTGTGGTCTGTTATTGAATACAAGTCTTGCAGATTAATTATTTGGGCAGTTAAAGAAATTTAGAGGGTCATCCCAACCCCAGAGTGAACTTGACCGGAGAGATAGAGCCCTTTATCATTCCAGCTATGATCTCTTGGACACTTGGTGCTCTGGAGACCTACAGACTTCCAGATGTATCCCTGAGGCCACACAACAGGAAAATCAGAATCTAAAACAGCACCTTTAAGAGACAGAACACCTTAGGTCACGTTCCAGCTCTGCCACTAATCTCTGGAGCTAGGAGAACAGCACCGATTTTTTTTTTCTGCCTTTTTACCTTTGCCCAGTTAGTGTGGAGATAATATCAAGCACAAATATTTTAAAAAATGCTGTCTGCCCTTCAGATGAGAACTTGATATTCTTTTAAAAGAATGGGGAAGAAACTTAAGGGAGTGTAGTTCCATGGATCTCACTCTCAATACCAATTCAGTATAAGAGTGTTTACTTTAAACTGGCATAACTGCCAGGGGTAACTTCACCTGTTCAGATCTGCCCTAATCTGCTAGCAGAAAAGTTAAATTAGTATTCTTCAGTGTTAACACTGCCACTTAAATTCAGTGATATGATTTTTAATTGTTAAAATTTCTTTTTTTTAGCCGATCACAGAAAAAAATGCAGATGGTTTCAAACATCTCTTTTTTTGCCATGTTTGTTATGTACTTCTTGACTGCCATTTTTGGCTACCTGACATTCTATGGTAAGTAATTTCTGCTGGTACATAAATATAAATATTTGTAAACAAATTAGTAAAAATAAGTATTGAAATAACTTTTAACGTGAAAGGTAAAGAAAGCAACAAAGCTACTCATTGGTTTCTCTAGTTTTTCTTCTGCTTAAAGCAATTGTGATCTTTCCTTTATTATTCATGCAGACTGCAGAATAAAATAGTTACTAAAATAATATATTTTTTTATCCTAACAGTGTCTTAAAGGAAATTGCATTTTAGAAGCATGCTACCTTTACTGAGGAAAGTTTAAAACTACATCACAGAAGGCTTTCCTAATTGACACTGCAAATTAGGTCAGATTCCATTAATAGAATAGAGAGACAGAGGCAGATGCTGAAAGTGAGAAAGAGCAGAATGCTACACTCATGACACTCTGAGTTAATTAAAAATGAAACTCCTAATTGTTCACTGGAAGTCGGATCCGAGCCTTGCAAAGATCCAAAGGAATGACATAGAAATTTTTAAAAGTGAAATCTGAAAAAGTGATCAAGATTTCATATGTAACTTTTACTGACCCTGAATGAACACTTTACTGGCTTTTACTGCCTCTTCATCCTCTCCTATTCAAATTATCCTGAAGCTTCATTTAATATCTTTCAGTATCTTTGTAATTGTGTACCAAATTTAAATATATATGCATGTATTTCACCATCTTTTCTACTAAATAATAATTCTTTGGGACTTTTTTCCATAAACACAAATGTCTCAAAATTAAACACATTTAAAATTTATTAATTCAGCCTGGAGAAAAAGGCTACTCTGATTATACGGATGTTATTATTATTGTTTTCACAAGCAATAGAGAATACCATTGTCTAATGAATTCATAAATACTTTATTTAATTTTTGCATAAAATTGGTGTTGCTAAGGTGGATGCAGAGTTGTAGGGCTGGGGTGGATACGAGGTGGGGGAGAGTTTCATGTTAGTTAAAGTCTCACTGTTTTCTTGTTTAAGCTATGATTTTTTTTTGTAAATGAATTGTTTTTCACATAGAATAGAATACCAAACACTTTTATTACTCTTGAGTTAAAGAAAAAGGCTCAGCTATTTTTAAGTGGTTGGTTAGATTGAATTAAGAAAATTAGAACTAGTGAGATTTGTATTATAACTTATGATTCTTTTTTTGAAACTGAGACCAAGCTCAATGGTGCAGTTTAGCATTTGAATTCCATGCCAAGAACCTTGAGGTTGGTACAGTGAGAAGCCCTTGCAGGAGATAGGAGGGGAAATTATTTTTTGTTTAAAGAGCGAGCAGTTTCATACTCTATGTTACTGCCATTCTAGCTTTGTTAGTCTTTGAAATAACACTTTCTGAAGTTCTGAGTTGAGAAAAAGTTCAAAGTAGTACATAAGGCCAGGTGTGGTGGCTTGCACCTAAAATCCCAACACTTTGGGAGGCTAAGTTAAGTGGATAGCTTGAGCCCAGAAGTTCGAGACTAGCTTGGGCAACATAATGAGACCCCTGTCTTTACAAAAACGAAATACAAAAATTAGCTGGGCATGGTGGCACACACCTATAGTCCTAGCTACTTGCGGGGCTGAGGCAGAAGGAACACTTGACCCTGTGAAGCAGAGGTTGTAGTGAGCCAAGATGGCACTAGTGAAACCACACTCCAGCCTGGGTAATAGAGCAAGACCCTGTCTCAAACACACACACACACACAGAGTAGTATATAAACACTATTTTTTTTTTTTTTACAAGAACAACATGCATGGAAAAGAGGAATTATTTCCTGGTGTTAAAATTTCAGCTAATGCCTCTGCTGCTTGGCCACTTGAAGTTGACTTAACAAGAGAAGAGTTTAAAACAAGCTTCAATGTGGCTTGCAGGCACGTCCCGCCCCCTGTCCCCCAGCAAGTCTGTGGCACTTTGGTGTGGTTTCAAGAGTAGAGGGAAAGTCTAGATTAAGAGCAGCTTTGCACTTCAACTGTGTGTTTCATTTTCAAGGCCAGTGTGCCTCTAGGTTTAATTTAGTCTAAATTAAGCATTCCCACTCCATGTAGCTTCTTCTAGAGATTACTTTAAATTCCTTTGCTAAGTCGCATATACACAGTAGAGCATGTCTCACGTACAGATTTTTCTTTCCAACTTAATTAATTGTTTTAATAGACATTTCAAAGCATTGCTTTTCTTTCTCTTTAGTTTACAAATTCTTTGTTGTTCAGAAAAACTGTCATTTAGCTATGTATTCTGTCTTCTTTTAAGATCCACTTACTTTTCCATCATTTCAGACAATGTTCAGTCAGACCTCCTTCACAAGTACCAGAGTAAAGATGACATTCTCATCCTGACAGTGCGGCTGGCTGTCATTGTCGCTGTGATCCTCACAGTGCCGGTGTTATTTTTCACAGTGAGTAAGGCCTTGGTGAAATATGAGAAAAACTGAGGTCTCGGCTTTCCTCCTGCCTGACCTGTTCCAGGGAAAGCCTGCCCCAGGTAACTTTCCTGGGTTATTGAAACTGCATCTGGAAATGATCCCAAGACTCTGTTCAGGCTCTTTGAAAAGCAAGTGGCATTCAGTGCATCAGGGAGCCTCTGATGCAATGAATCTTCATTCTAATTAATCTGTCCCTGTTCTTTACAAAGAAATGACAATATAATGTTCAAATATCAGTCAGACATGAAGAGAGAATGTAAAAAGAATGGAAATGAACACTCAAGTCTTAGATAAACGAAAGCAGAAATTCCACCCCCCACAAGAAAACTCTACTATTCATAAATAAAAATATTTTCCCTCTTCAGTTAAGACCCTGTACTTCCAAAACTGTTAAGCTATCTATAAATTCACTAGGCATCACAAAACATTTCACAAATTTGTATACACCAATAAATCAGTTACTCTGCTGAGAAATGTCAGTGTTGGCATGCTGTAGGCACTTACAGAATCTTTGTTTTCTTTTCTGGCAGGTTCGTTCATCTTTATTTGAACTGGCTAAGAAAACAAAGTTTAATTTATGTCGTCATATTGTGGTTACCTGCATACTCTTGGTTATTATCAACTTGTTGGTGATCTTCATACCCTCCATGAAAGATATTTTTGGAGTCGTAGGTATGGCTTCATGACTTTGTGCTTATCATTGTACAATAGCTGTTTGGAGGGAAAATTTCACAATAGCAATGCTAAACTTTCTCTTTTTGCTTATTTTACAGGAGTTACATCTGCTAATATGCTTATTTTTATTCTTCCTTCATCTCTTTATTTAAAAATCACAGACCAGGATGGAGATAAAGGAACTCAAAGAATTTGGGTATGTTTCTTGCCGGCCACTCTAACTTTTCTGATTAGTTTTCCATTTAAATTTACCAAATAAATAGTTCACCTCTCTATCAAGACTACTTTCAGTTGCCCTGAAGGGAGGAAGAAGCCCTGTAGCTTTCCTACTTAGGAGAGAATTAAAATATATCAGAATCTTCTCCTGTCCCTGCAGCTATCTTTTCTGGTTTTACTCTCATTGTGCCTCAGCTTTTGTTCTGATCTAGCGCATGGCCAGTCAGAAGAATGGACATTCATCCTCCTGTGTCTCTATAGGATGGTGTCTAGTCTTTAGCAAGAGAGGAAGTCACAAAGGACTTGCAGCTATTATGCAGTCTACTGTTTCCATATGATTTCTAGTCACGTAACCCCTCCCTATAGCCCAAGGAACATGCAATGCCTTAATTAAAATGTCTGAGTTAAAGAGTCTTTTATTATTTGACAGATATGCTTTGGAACAACAACCTGGATTCAAAACCTACTTTTCTATATTAGGATTCTTTTTTCCAGGTCTGGTAAAATTCAAGGGCATCTTGAAGGTGGTGTACTTGGAAACAGTGAGGGAAGCAGGGGTGAAGTGGCTGCTATCTGAGTCCCTTTTGGAGTTCCATTTTACTTGGTCTTGGAGAAGGCTTCTCAGCTGCCCCCCTAGCTAGTGTAAGCACTGAAATTGTACCTATTACCTGAGTCAAAAGATCCAGATGAGAGATATAGGCACAAGGGTCGTCCCTGTGCATTTAGGAGAAGCAGCACTGATGCTCATGGATCATCCAGTTCCCCAACATGATCACCCCTGTAACCTTAATTCCCAAATCCTTCCAGCCTTGCCTATAGGGGCTTCATGAGGACAGAGAGAAAGGAGCAGTCACTCTGGCACAACAGGACAAATATATTCAGTTTAAATCTGAAAATGGTGGAGGCCTGTTGCACATGAATTCTGAGCCTCTCTAAACCTTGTCCCATAATGAAACTAGTAGTAGGGTCTGCCAAATGGCATTAGACAAGAGCTCCATCTGTGTAGGGACCACTGGGAGTTAGACTGGACCCAGGATGGCATGCCACATGCAGCCATCTCAATCCCCAATTCGCTCCTCTCCTTCTCTAGCTTTTTCTCCTCCTCCAGTTTTCAGTCTAGGCCCATTGGCTCTCAGAATGCATCATCCTTCTCCCTGTAGAGTTCTTACTGAACATACTCCAGGCCAAGGAAAATGTTCCAGCCCAAGGAATCTTGTGTTCTTTGGATTTTGGATTTAGTAATCTGTATTAGTCTGTTCTCACACTGCTAATAAAGAAATACCCCAGACTGGGTAATTTATAAAGGAAAGAGGTTTAATTGACTCACAGTTCCACATGGCTGAGGAGGCCTCACAATCATAGCAGAGGGTGAAGGAGGAACAAAGTTACATCTTACATGGCAGCAGGCAGAGAGCCTGTACAGGGGAATTCCCCTTCATCAAACCATCAAATCTCATGAGATGTATTCACTATCACTAGCACAGCATGGGAAAGATGCACCCCCAGGGTTAAATTACCTCCCACTGGGTCCCTCCCATGACACATGGGAATTATGGGAGCTATAATTCAAGATGGATTTGGTTAGGGACACAGCCAAACCATATAATCAACTGTTTACCTATGGCCTTCATCAGCCTTTCAGGTAACTTAGTTTTTGACACCTGTTTCCTATTTTACTTGATCAAATCTATTTTACTTTCGCATGTTTTTTCCCACTTTTTCAAACAGAAATGTTTGCTTGCCAGTGATAAGCTAGGTTGGTAGATAATGAATAACAAAATGATCTGGATATTTTCTAAGGCCTTTTCCCCCACTTTGGTTGTAATCTTAATTTGAGAGAAGCCATAAGGATACCCAGTCATTTGTAGAATAGATACATACAATTGAGGTGAATATGGAGTCAAAGAACGGGGCATAGAAGACTACTCTGCTTAGCTTGTTTTCTTCTATGTTCCCATCCTTGTAGAATCAGATTGATAAAGTTTTAGAAAGAGTCTCACAGTTCAGCCATGGTTGTAACAAACTTTAAATACCAGAGGACACAAAGAGAGAGGGAAACAGTTCTATTTTTTTCCCCCAGGTACATGTGGAAAATTTTTGCTGCACTGAAAATAACCCTTGCTTTTCTGTTGCTATAGGCTGCTCTTTTCTTGGGCCTGGGGGTGTTGTTCTCCTTGGTCAGCATTCCCTTGGTCATCTATGACTGGGCCTGCTCATCGAGTACTGATGAAGGCCACTGAGACCAGCCGAGAAAAAGAAATATTCCTGTTGTCTGCTCAGTCAAGTCCCCACACATCAGCAATCTCTCATCACTTCTTTTGCAAGTTTACAGAAGCAAACAGAAATGTACAGGATACTTAAAATGGAATAACACTTTGGTTCCAAAACAGAGACATGTTTCTATAATGCTTCATGTCCCTCCAAGATCTGGGATCAATTTAGGGGTTGTGAATTTTTTTTTCAAATTTCATATAATCATATTTCCCAATACCTTTCACAGTGAGTTTTTACCCATCTAATTCTATGATTTGTGGCTTCGTGGTCCTTTAGAACTTTGAAAACATGATAAGCAATCATGTTTATTTATTATACATCCAGATTCTGAAATAATTTTCCTACTGATGTTCAGCTCACACTATCTGTACCTTTTTAGAAGAGAAAAGAATCTTGAATTGTATATATTTATTTTGCTTTACAGAAAAAAATGGTTTCGTAAATAATTTGCCTATTTTGGTTAACATAGCACACAGAGATAATCATCTGAAAGTTATAGGGCACTGCCACTGCTGAATCAGAGCACGCCCAATATTTGAGGTGGCTCTGATCACCTGGCAGCTGAGCTCAGGCAGTCCAGTGGCCTAGCTGGTACCACATCCCATTCACATCCAGAGACATTCTCTGGAAAGTGTTCTCAGCTGAAAAGAACTTTATTTAATTACTTACCTTGGTAATTAAATGAAGCTACACATCTGGGTAATCTAGCAAATGAAGTATTGTTTCCCTCTTGGCAACTTGTGTCAGAGTTACTCTGGTCTGAGTCAACTTTCGATGGGGAAGACCAATGGAACCTACTGCAAAAAGATTGTCCAAAATGCCTAAGAAAATACTCCTCTGATGCATTTAGCCTTCATTCCTATACCTGTCTTGTTGAAGGGAGAAAAATGTTTTAGTACATCATAGGCCAATCAGCTTTTATTCATGTCCACCAGCTAGTTGCACAGAGAATCATGTGTACCTAACTAAGGATGATCTAGGATAAGTAACTCCTGTTTTATATTGAGTATTTTAGGGAAGTCTTTAAAAGACTTGTTTTATATCTATAAATCTAGGTTATTACAAATACAAGATTTTTGTACCTTAAATAAGCCTCATTTCTATTTCTTCTTTGTTAATTCTCCATCTAGAGTCTTGCGGGAAAAAAGAATCCTGAGAGATAGTCTTTGTGAAGAGTTTTGGCAGAATCACTGGGTACTTGAAAACATGATAAGCAATCATGTTTGTTTATTTATTAAACATTCAGATTCTGAAATAATTTTCCTTCTCCCAGATGAGAAAGACAAGGGGGTCTCAGTATCTGTGCTGTCTCCTCTTCTCTTCCCCAACCAAGGAGTGTGCCATTATTGCCCATCCCAACTGATCCATGCAGGAGGACAGAGGTGCCTGGTACTTTTACCCTAGTCCCTCTCCTAAAGGGAGCACAAGGAAACTGTGAAAAGACTGAAAATGAAGACAGTTTGTAGCTGAAAAAGGAATGGGGATAGCAAGGAAACCCAGAACTGCATTCCCCTAAGTGGGACCATCCCCTGTGATTGGATTGTTCATAGTTAACATACGGTGAGAAATACGCATGCTCTGTGATCTGGTCTCTTGAAACAGGACTTATATTTCCTCTATATTCTGGTTGAATTTTCCAAACACATAAGTTCACTGAGCACAGATTTCTTGTCCAGAGATAAGTAGAATCTAACTGCAGACTGTTGGCAGAGTTTCTAGGCACTTAGCCATGTTCCCTTCCTGACTCAAATCCCCAAAGGCCTTCACTCTCACTGAGAATCACACGGAACTGTCTTTGCCCATTACAGACAAATGACCCATAGATAAGGCAGTCATTGAAGCACCTGTCATGATCCTCTTGCAGGGAGAATGAAAGGTTATTTCCTGCCTTGCATCATCATAGCTTTTAATATAATGCTACAGAATTATATCCACATTAGGTCAGAGTTCAGATATTTAGATATGAATACCTGACCTAGCCATATCCACAGCCATCTCTGTCCTTTTCAGCAATGTTTTCCATATCATATTAGCAATGACAGAAACAGAACAAACCAAGATTCAGTCGGTTCTTGGGAGCTTGTCTAGAGTGCCAAGTAATGAAATAGCCAGGTAGTGGGATGACCTTACCTTTGAAAATACGTTAATTTAGTTTGCAAACTATATTATGCTACTTTCTATTTTCCTCATTACTTTATAGCAATTCATTTTATACTCACAAAGTCAATTTAGAACATTATCATTAACTAGGATGTGTAGTCATATTTTTGGGCCTCTGGACTTCATATGTAAATATAAGGAATATTTACTTAAAATACATTTATTTAGAGGAGGCACACTGTTGTTGATGTGTGTAATAAACACACATATTTTTAAAAACCTTTGTATGTTTATCTAAATTTGTTGTTGACTGAATATAATAGACTCTACTGTAATTTGTCAAATATCAATGATTAGTTACATCCTTTGTGTGGGATTAGCTGTAAAGTGTACGCTCTTAATCTTGTTCAGAATAGTGAACTGGTAGCCAAGAATACATGTATCACAGATGTTAGGTCGAATTTAAAGAGCACTTTGAGAGGCCGAGGCGGGTAGATCACGAGGTCAAGAGATCGAGACCATCCTGGTCAACATGGTGAAACCCCATCTCTACTAAAAATACAAAAAATTCGCTGGGCATGGTGGCGCGTGCCTGTAATCCCAGCTACTCAGGAGGCTGAGGCAGGAGAATTGCCTGAACCCAGGAGGCAGAGGTTGCGGTGAGCCGAGATCATGCCATTGCCCTCCAGCCTGGGTAACAAGAGTGAAACTCCATCTCAAAAAAAAAAAAAAAAAAACACAGTCAAGTGCTATGGATGATTTTCTGCTAAATTAGTAGATTAAAGAATACTACACCTTAGCGATGGGGAGCAGCACGTTTTCCCTTGGTAGGTAGGATCTCTATACTAGTGAACAGTGCCAGTTTCACATTTTGAATTTAGAACTGTTCTCTAGTTATTGTAACACAGAATACTGTCAATCCCTAATTTACTTAATGTTGATTATTGGAAGTGGGACTGGTGAAACACAAACAGGAGGGAAATCTACTCTGTTTAGGCACGGGCAGTCCCAGTGTATAGAGAGATCATATTCCAAAAAGTTGTCAGTTGGTTGTTTGCAACCTGGAATGTATTTTCCTTTACAGACCAGGTTATCTATGGTGGTTAGTCCCCTAGACCAGCTGAAAAAGATGATCAAACCCATAGTTTAGCTGAAAGTGAATAATGTAATAGGTTTGCCAAAAAATCTAACCATCAAATATAACATTGTTTCCAGGAGGGTGTTTGTTCAGAGTTGCCTGTTAGTAGAATCTGGACTGCCCATCCTAGCCACATACCACCTACCGGACAGGGAGGGTAGAGATGCCACTGGACTACAGGTGACTGGAGTGGCCTGAAACAGGGTGTCCAGCAAAAATTGGGAAGAATGAGTCCATGACTGTTAGAGAGCCTGGTGATAAGAGGAGGGTGAAGGAGGGTGATGGGGTGTCTTGTGGGTCAGAAACCTCCAGGGACATCGCTCACTTGGTACCTCTGCTATTGTCCGGAGAGTTCAGGTTTGTTCTGCCTGTTTCTGTTTGTCTGACTTTTGGTACCTATGGTTCATCTCCTGCCCTACCTACCACAGAAGAGGATGCTGGTGCACAGCTTCTCTCATGTACCAGTCGTTGAGGTCAGTGCACAGCACTTTTAATGTTTTTAGTGCTAGTAACTATGTTTTAACTTTTGAGGAATAAGCTGGAATGTTAGAAAAAAGAAAAAGGAGAAACAAAAGCTCTCCACCATTTCCTTTTCTACATTTACAAACCCTGTTGAGAAAAAGGCCCAGAAGGGTGATGGGGATAGGGCTTGTGGCAGACACAGTGTTGTGGTAAGTTTCCTCAGTGTTTCGGAGAGCACCCAAGACTCACCCTGGAACTGACTGCTTTCTGGAGATTGATTCATGCCTCTAAGCCAGTGGTTCTCAAAATGTGGCCCCCAGACCAGTAGCATCAGCATCATCAGGGACCTTGTTAGAATGCAGATTCTCAGCCCCACACCCCCAATCCAGACATGGTCAAGTCAGAAGCTTTCAGGGTGGGGCTCAGCAGGTGATTCTGAAGTGCATCAAGTTTGAGAACCACACTAAGTCAATGAGTCACCCTTTTTCTTCCCATTAGTCCTACCTCACAAGATGATTCCTATGACTCATGGGGCAGGACACAAGAGCCAGGATTATAGGAAGAGGAGGAAAGGACCCTGGTTGCAGGGATCTCTGCAATGGCAAGAAAGCAAGTGAATCCAGCGCTGCCACCTGGTCATCTGCCTCTGGTTGAAAATACCAGTGCAGGTGCACATTCCTAAACACAGACTGCCTGCACTAAGTGTTACCTCAGGCTGAGGCATGATAATATATTTTTTTTAAAGCTGTGAGAAAATGAAAGTGAGGCTTTGGTGGGGGTGGGGTGGTGGTGAGAGAAATTAAAAGAAAAGACCCTTTGTAAATGCAGACTTAGAAGAAATACTGAATTTCTGTCAGAAGTAAGTTCTCCGGTGTTTGTGTTGATTGTGTGATGATAATCCTGTCCTCCTTTTAAAAAGAATTTTCTACTGAAAATCTGCTCTGTTTAAGGAGCTACAAACTACTCTCAAAAGAATGAAATGCTGAGTTCCAATTCAGTGGGGCACAGTGTTGGACTATGGCACATTTAGTTGGAGTAGGGAGGAGATCAGAAATATTGGATTTTATGCCTTAGAGCAAAACCTGTTAGTATCTCTCAGTTTATCAATTTAAAGGGCTTTAGGCTTAGAGGGGATGTAAACTTTGAGATTATAATTCTCCCATTCAAGTTCACAGCAAACACCTAACCACTTTCAAAACAAAGAAGACACAGGCCATCATTTAGCAATACTAATACATGATTTTCCTTCGGGATGGCAGGTCTGAGAATCCTTTAGCAACAGGACATACTTCCCCTAAATTACAGTGAATTATTTATAATGATATAAGGTTTTCAGATACAAACTGAAAATGGGGTGGCTAACAACTAAAAACTATTACTAAATCCAAAAGAGAAAGTTCTTGCAAAATATGTAAAGTTCACAAGATGCAGACATCTCCTTCTTTAGGTTTTTCTCTAAGGAAGGACTATGAAATTCGGCCCATCTGTATACAGGCTCAAATTTACCTTTTAAAGGAAGAATCTATGCAGCTGAGGCTTATTGCAGGAAAATACTTCATTTGTATGTAAATATATTGTAAATAAATAGGAGGCTGTATATTTTTGCAGTTGTTGATCCACACTGAAATAGAAGTCTCTAGGATCTGCATATAAACAATAAATGTTTTCTAGATATTAGTGGTTTTGTTTGGGAATTAGAAAAATTTACATTCCCTTCCAGGTAACATAGTTCTCTCAATGTAAAGTTGGAACCTAAAATCCTACTTAACTATTTAGAAAAAGAAATGTCTGAGAAATAGTTCCATTGATTTCTTATGCTGGCATTAAGATCAAATAAGAAATATTTAAACACAAATCCTTGTCATATAGAAACAGATATATCCAAAATGACAAATTGTTTCTTCATAATGATCTTCCATTGTTAACATGGGTACCACTATATAGTATTTATGAAAACAAGTTGGGGAGAAGAATGTTTTCTTTTCACAATTGAATTGCTGCATTTTTCAAACTTTGGGATTCTATGAAAGGGGGGAGGGAGAACCTGAATATTAATTATGAGCACTAATTTGAAGGAAAGGAAACAAAGAACCATTATTTTATCACACTTTGAAAGTCTTGCATGTTTGCCTTTTATTTTAGTGTTGATGCCGACATAGACTGTCTTAGGTAATTTTTTCCCCAAACACTTGAATCTTGATCGTTGATATGTAATCCACTCTCTAGAGTCCAGTGTACTTTAGACTTCATCTGAGTCCAGTACATGTAGCACACCACTGTTTTATTAATGTAAAAACCTTGTAAATGAATTTCAGATGGGTGATTTAAGTGAGTCACAAGACACAAAAGGTTGCTATTCATAGTTAATCAAATAGAACTGGGTTTTTCTTTTTCCAGGTGTGGTGTAAATAAAGAAATGTAAGAAGTTCTGTTCTATAACTGCTCTGTTAACATCGTTTTTAAACATTAAAAAATGTGAACTAAAAGTATTTACAAATTTTGTGTTGTGCTTTTGCGATGCGATACTAAAATGGGCAGTGGAGTACTATATATGCTATTCAGGATTGCTGGAGAAGGGTTTGTACACCCTTGTCAGTGTTCTAGATGATAGAAGTTTATATATTTAAGCACGCTAACATAACTATTTTTAAAAATACTTCTTATAGAAGTCTATCTGGTCTGAAACATATACCACATTTCTTCATTCTTCATAATCAGAGTAGATTGGCCATAATATTTTCTTTTTTAAGTCAAGTTTACCTTTATAAGCATTAATTTCTGTCCTATGTTGTAGGAAGAAGTTGAGTCTTCCTCTACCCACACTGCTGCCACCTGTAAAATAGGACATTCTATCAACACTTTCATTTCTCAGGAACTGTTGAGGCAAAGCTAGTGCAGCCTTGCCTTTTCTTTATCCATCAGCAGCATCTTTGAAAGGCTTTACCAGACCAGCAGGATGGCCAGAGTCTGACATGCAAGTTCTTCTTGTGGACAGGGCTAGCATAGGAATAGCCTGGGTCTTTTACGGTGTGGCTACGGATGAAGACCCCCTTGATGAACTCCTCTGGTCTGCCCAGGTGACAGCAGCCCATTGTACGGGACCTCGGTGGCACACATGTAAAACTCAAAGTAGAAACCTAGGGCATGGGAGTCCAAGTCATGTTCTCCAATCTAACTTCATTAGGAATAAAGCTGATATTTTTATTCTTACGTTCCTCCTCTGCCTACTTCTTAATTGATCAAAACCCCAGGGCAAAAAAGTGTGAGTAATTATCACTTTTAAACTCAAGCAGTGGTAAAAGTTAAAGACTATTGAGAATATGAGCAAATTGTGTTCCAAATCAAAAGGACCAGTCCTGCAGCACCTTTGATAGTTCTGACTTCTTCCTTCTACTCTCCCTCCATTAGTGTTTGCTAATACTGTTCTGTTCTATCCTTTTTGACACAGAATTATCAGGGGGGAGTTATTCTCCCCCTTTCCCATGAAATAAACTATGGGCTTGTATTAGGGCTCTCCAGAGGGACAGAACTAATAGGATATATGTATATGAGAAAGGAAATTTATTATGGAGAGTTGGCTCACACAAACACAAGGTGAAATCCCACAATAGGCCATCTGCAAGCTGGGGAAGAAAGAAGCCAGTGGTTACTCAGTCCAAGTTTAAAACCCTCAAAAGCAGATAAGCCGACGGTGCAGTCTTCAATCTGTGGTCAAAGGCCAGAAAACCCCGGCAAACCATTGGTATAAGTCCCAGAGTCTAAAAGCCAAAGAACCTGGAGTCATGTCCAAGGGCAGGAGGAATGGAAGGAAGCATCCATCACGGGAGAAAGATGAAACCCAGAAGACTCAGCAAGCCAGCTTAGCCCACCTTCATCTGTCTGCTTGGTTCTAGCCATGCTGGCAGCTGATTGGATGGAGCCCACCCACATTGAGAGGCTCTTCCTCTCCCAGTCCACTGACTCAAATGTCAGTCTCCTCTGGCAACACCCTTGCAGACCCGTCCAGAAACAACACTTTACCAGCTATCCAGGTGTCCTTCAGTCCAATCAAGTTGACACCTAATATTAACCATCATGTGGTTTAATGATAATTTTGCAACTCAGATATCCTATTTTCTTTCTAGATTTATAATTGTGTTCTGCCTACTTTGGAAGGATTATTTAGCTTATTAATTAAGGAACAAGTAATATTTTAAAAATTGGTCCAAAGGAGAATTCAAAGAACAAATACATATAACAGCAATTGGAAATGCTAAAATGAATTTGCTAATAGATGCAAAACTGGCCTGTCCACAGGGGGAAATTTATTGCATCTTAACCAGACAGAATTATTTTGTATCTCTGTACAATAATCATTTCCATCTCTTCAGTTTTCTACAATTTAGATGGCATAAAGTAGCTCAAAAACCAAACAGCGGGGGTGCGGGGCAAAATTTTTATAGAATCATATAACCCAGAAGCAGCATCTAATACTTCATTGAAAGTACGCCTACCCAGTAATTTTTTTTAACTCTTTTAAAGTCTTTCCAATTTTCTTAACAACTTCCCTCTTTGTGACTATAAAAATCTCAAAGATTGTTCTTGGTCATAAAAAGAATGGTCTCATTAGGCTTGGCCTGATTATTTGCATGGGTGTGGCAAGAATGTTAACCAACCATATAGGTTTCCTTGAGTTTGCTTTGCAAATCTAGAGCTATGCAGTATTGAACAGCTACTGGAACCACAGAAGTGCACTTTTAAAAGTCTCTATGGGGTGAGAGGGCAGTGGGTTGAGGGGGAAAAAGTCTCCATCACTTGCTAGCTCAAGATTAAGAAAGTAAGCCCAAGAGACTCCACCATACTCACCTATACTATCTATAGATTTGAATGAATTCATCTCTACTTGAGTTCTCCCAAATTTACTAAGGCTCCTGGCCTGCCAGGAAGTGGTCTTTGTCACCACCCATCATAACGGGATCCTGTAGACCAGCTTTAGTACTAGGCTATAGGTTACAACCCTAGAAGGTTGGTACTAAGCCAGGATTTTGTAAGCATTTACTATGGAAGTAAAATTAACCTTTGTTCCTTGGAGTTGTTTGACATATCTGTTAAATGACCAACATCCTTACATATGATGTTCCAAGTAAGGCCACGATGACACATTCAATTTTGTCCAGTTATGTACCGGGAAAGAAAAAGACTCTTGTTGAACCTATGCAAATAATCACATTGCTGTAAGAAAGGTAACTCAGTTGCAGTGTTTAAACTCTAGGTGGGGGAGAGTTCAGTGAGAAGGAGGAAAAACATGTTTAGTTAATATTTGCCATGCACATTGCTGCAACAACAGCAGAGTATACTGAATTGTTGTAGACTGAAGATAGCTTAAGAAGAAAGAGAAACAGCTTCCTTATATATCCAGCAAATACAGGCTTAAAACGTCAACACAACCACAGTAAAAATTTTTCTCATCTGCTCATTCTGCCCTTTGTAATTTTATTTTGCTGAATTTTGGATTAGCATTTCTGTATTCAGAGAGCTATGTGTATATGCCTTAAAAAGAACCTCATTACGCAGGTACAGACTGAAAGCTGTCTAAATACCATCAGCTCAGGGTTTGTACCCGAGTCTATAGACTTCGATAGTTTAAAGTACTTGGAGCAGTCCTTTTCCATGAGACTCTGAGGCTGTCTTTCTTTGCTAAAGAACCAGATTTTGCCTTGTAGTTAATAGCAGACACTAAGGCAAGTTTCAGGAAACAGAGACCTATTTGATAATAAGACCAAAAGGTTGTAGTTAATTTACCTCAGTAACTAATAGTTATCCATTATATCTTAGGTATTCTTCTCAATAACCTTGAAATTATGTGGTATTCCACTGAAAGTTCACCTAATAATCTGTTTTGCCCATTTAAAAGTCCTTCACAATTTTTCTGTTGCAATATGTATATCTATATCTTATATAAATAATATCTTGGAGTGCAGAAGACATTTCTTGTTACAAAACATAGGAGCCACAGAGGAAGTAATTGATCAATAAATATTTCAAAATGCTATATGACATACAATAGTGCTAACATGCAAACAATCTGAAAATCCAAATGCGATAAAAAACTAACATTTTGTCACACACATATTGCAATTAATGGGACCTGCCTCTTTAGTTTGAGGTTCAAATTATTCAAAGTATTCCCCTGACCAAATTTCCAGGATGCCTAACACGTTTTCTTTTCCACTTCCAAATTGTGCAAAAACCCAGAGGTGTTTGCTTCCAAACTCCAGGCAAAGAGAGAACTGGTGAATGTAATCAGTTCACAGCAGGTTTCCTTCCCAGCTCAGTCACTTCCGTCACTGCCACATGATGTTCCTGTTGAACACTGGCCCTGTGCAATCTGTTACACCTGTGTCTGCTGCAGCAATCATGTTCTCACAGGTCCACAACTTGAGGAGGGCTGAAGCATGGGAGGAAGGTTGACCCCAATTCACAGAGTGCTATGGTAGCTGCCATTTTCAGAGCCCAAGCAAGGAATAGCTCCTCAGTTTGCCCGCAGCTGGCTCCCAATCCATGCCCTCCAGGCTGTCTGGCTCAGGAGAGACTTTTGTTTACAGCTGCACACTGTGTTAAAACCAACCCTCTCCCTTTCCCCCAACCCATGGGAGTTGAAACTTGATACTGATTCCAGGTTCTATACCTGATATCCTCATGGTGAGTTCCCCTGCAGAGCTCTTAGGACTGTTTCCTGCTCCTTCGACAATCCTCTTAATCCACAAGTTAAGTATGAAAAGTAGCAAAGCCCAAAAGGGAAAAAATTGGGTAGGAGAGAATATTATCCTCCCGGGAGCCATCCTAGTGCCTCTGCAAATTTGCCTGACTCAATAATCTTTGGTGCAGAAACATCTGACTTGGGGCACTCATGTTAAACCACAGAAACATTGTCACATCCTTCCTTTGAAGTGATGGTTGCCTGTTTGGCTCCTTCCTTAAAAATCCCCTTTTCAAGAAAAACTGGCTCCTATCCAGAATTCAAGGGCCATTAGACTTTTCTCTTGTTTAAAAGTGACTAATTGTCTTCACAAAGAAGCACTTAGAAGCTTCTTAAAGTTTCCCTAAGTTTGTTATGTTTCCTTTGGCTACATAATGTAAAGCTAATCTCCTTAATAAATGAAGAGCTTCTAAAAATCACTAAGAAGGAAAAAAAACAAGCTGTAGAGATGTAAAAAGGGGGCTGCCAGTAAAAGAAATTTAAAAAAAAACACTTGAGATGTGTTCAATCTAACACTCTCTTAAATCAATACATGCAAATTAGAATATCTATATGATACCTTTTTATTTCTTTTTCATATTGACGAAGACTAAAAAATGGTTGCTTTCATAGTTCTGGTAAGGATGTAAGAAACAGGCATTTGTATATGCAGTTGGTGGAAATGTAAACTGTTGCAGTCTTTTTGGGGAGAGCAATTTGGCAATATCGATAAATATTGTAAATGCTCTTTACTTTTGTCCCATCAATTCT